AAAGAGAAAATTTAATATCTTAATCTGAAATTGTAGCATTTTGGCTATTTAAGTGCGAAAAAAGCAACAAATTCAAGCGTTTCATACACTTCAAATGTGCCTTTACGGGAATACCTAAGATACTTAGCCATTAAGCTCGCATCTCTTAAGCCGCCTCACATTTCAACATAGTCACATGCCTACGCACATTAATATAAATTTTATGGCTTTATATCCTTTATGTGCGTAAATGTTTATGCATTTATATGTACAATTATGTACTATATAAAGAGATTCGGTTTTGGGTAGGGATAGGAGTAGGAGTGGGAGTAGGAGTATCTGTGCTGCTGCACGTATTATATTGCATTACACGAGCATTGCGGCAAAGTGCGCCTGTTTATGGTGTCATAAAATGATGTACAATACATAACAATAGCTTTGGGCGCCATTTTTTATTTTTTAGCGCCCTGCTTAGAATGTATTAAATCCTATCCTATAAAGTAATAAAATTTCCTTGCAATTCACACTTTGTTGTTGCCATTTTTATAAGCGCTTCTTCCTATGACACTGCTGTTCTATTCTTATAACCGAAGTATCCTATAATATCCTATAGGCACACGGCTCTTTCTATTAAATAACAAATAAAGATAAAATTGCAATAAAATGTAAAGAAAGCAAGTGAAAAAAAAAAATAAGAAAAAAAATGATGTAAAAAACAGTACCGAATAGCTGAAGAATTTTAGGTTTCTTAGGTACGAGTGTATTGAGAATACACTTATATTTTAGTCTTTGAATTATTAAACTTCAGAATAATAAAGAGCAAGGTGGTATCTATTTGAGACAAATAAATTAAATTCTATTAAATTTAAACAGCAAGGCACTAATATGGAGATTTGTAGTGTTTGGACTGCAATATGGGATTGAATATCGATTTACATATCTAGTTTGATCTATCTATTTGAGTAATCTATAAAACAAGCAGAAACTATATGGATTTGCTACTTTAAATTCAAGAACACTGCAGAAAGTTATTACTGCTCATTAAAGAAACACAGCTCTCATCGATTGCAAAATAAATATTCTCTATTGAGTGATAAAATAAACAATAGGTTGAAAGGAGGGCCTTATGCATCAAATCCTAAAATAATTGTCCATTATGATACCATGCATTAGAATTATTCAAAGACAAATCAAAAGATCACCAGAAGGACTGCAGTAATCAGTTTATAGCAAACGCTGAAAGTCACGACTTCTTTATTTCACTTAAAGTAAACCAACCTCATATTTCTATAAACTTAGCAAAATTCCTAAAGTTGCTAGATAGACATGACAGGATAGATATACAAGACAGGATAAGACAGATAGACACAACAGCTCAAATAGATCTAATAACTAGAGCAGGACAAGACAGATAGACAGGACAAGACATATAAACAGGACAGCTCCTATGGCTGTTAAAAAAAATGTGATCAAAAGATTTTACTATTTTATGGTCTAGAAAAAAAATTTCTTTAGCATTGACAAAAGAGATAAAACACGAATTCCTCCCCTTCTTTAAAGCCACAACAACAAAAAATGTCGTTATAAATTCAAACCAGTCTCATATCTTCTATTACACTTCTATTACACTCGCATATCTTTCTACCACATTTAAACTTGTCAGTACGAATATCATTGTGCTCAGCATATTTCGCTTTAATTGAAACAGCTGACTGGTACGTTACATGTACACCTCTGTCAAGACGGTTAACATAGGTGGCCAAAGATGGACATTAACAAAGAAAGTAAAATATGGATTTCACTTCCTCATCGAAGACACCACCAGGACAAATGTCGTTAAAGAGTAGACGCAGTCTTGTAGCATGTCTTTGTAATACACAGTGGACATCAATATTATCGTGCTGAGCAGGTTTCACTTTAGGTACAGCAGCAGCTGATTGGTATATTTTTTGTCCAGTCAGGATTAAATCGATCATGAGACCTGACAAGAACTTTTAGCTGACCAGTTTTTCTTTAAGCTCGAATCAAATATTATTATTCAATTGTCAATCTAACCAAGTGGGATACTAATATCCAAGAAATTAATGTCAGAAAGCAGAGTATCTGCCTTGATAAGCTTATTTGCCTTACCAAGATGTCCTTGTGCTGAGCTATCCATATGAGTTGAACAATCACACACTTAGCGCGCGCTTTTTTACGCAAATTCCAGCATTTTCAAACTGTTAAGGATGTACTTGGAGCACTTAGCAGCAATTTCACAGCAGCATAATGCCCATTTTACCATTTCACCAGTATTTAAAGCTAAAAGACACTGGAATGGTTGGGTGGTCGAAGCGAAATTTTAAGACCCAATATATAAGAAAATTTGTATGTCGACTCTTCTATCTTTATGGAGCCGATAATCTAAATTATAACGTGTTAAGAGAAACTACTCTATCAAGAATGCAGTCGTTTCTACTGAGTATAAAAAACAAGAATCTTAGATTGAGGATAGGGTTAGCATCGTCAAATTGATATTTGATATCTATGCTTATAGATTTATTTCAGTAGTTTCAGTAGTTTCAGTAGTTAGATACTATATTTTTGTAAGTAAGTTTTTAAGTCACAGGATATAGTTAAATGTAAGCAGATTAACTTGCAACTAAAGGTCAGTCTAAGCGCAAATCTTCTATTTTAAGCAATATTAAATTCAGTTCTGATGTAAAATACATTTAAAACCCATGTAAAATACTTCATTCTATGTTAAACTTAACTAAACCAGCAAAATATACAATCAAACCATTACCTCAACAAACATATCTATTGCAATATTTGTGGCATTGCAAGTTAAATCAACTCATAAACATTTGCACGTAGCTCACAGTATGCAACACGTAACTTGACACAAGACAATGTCCTGTACGGAACATGTCGTACTTAGATTGCACGAGTCGAGCACTGGTCACAGGTTATTGGGCACTGGCATTGGCCAACCAGCTATGTCCGCTTCTGATGAATGCTTACATCCGGACGAGCATGCACGATGTCAACTTGGAGGTATACTTGCGCGACATGAACGTCTGAAATACTAACGAAAATGGATAATAGTTTGCGGAAATTGATCAATTATTAAAAAAAATTCATGTAAAGAACCTGAAATAACTGGAGAAAAACGTATGGCAAAAAAAAAGAAATAGATAAAATATGGTGAATATATGACATTCCATGCGGAGCACAAATCGAACGAATTTCGTAATAAATTCTTCATTTATTGATGAAAATTTTGAAATTGTACGACTGTCACGTGACTATTGTGTAGTCACATGCATGTGCAGCAAACTATATCTGTAGCTGGTCATCTATATCAGTGCAGTATCTTCACTATCGCAGAAAAAAAAAACATTCTTTACTGTGCTGTGTTGGAACGTTAGTGTATGCTCCTCTTTGCT